TCCCAGGTGACTGGGTGCGGACACTGGATTCCCAAGTGGCAGCTATCAGAGCTGTGTGGTCCCAGCACATCTGCTTCAGCACAGGGTGCATCTGGATACTCTACTTCTGGACCTCTATTGGAAGCTCCTGCCTGAAGTGAGGGAAATTCAGGCAGCTCCATCTCCTAGGTACAGGGAGGGCAGGCTGATGTTGGAGTGACCTTCACCTTGAGAATTGTCACGGAGCTGGCTGAGGTGAGGTCATGTGGCTGCTGTCCAAGCAGGCCCTGCTCCATGGAGAATTTTCCATCACAGCCTTGTACGCCCACCATACTAGTCACTGTAGCAGGTCCTTCATGCTCTCATGCTCTCCAGGTATGTTGGGGGAGGACACTGTATGAGGCAGAGGCTGTGTGAGAGCTTGTACTTCCTGAAGCACCAATTGCTTTGGACTTGGCAAATCTATTAAGTGCGGTTGTCTTGTAACCTAGTGCTCATAAGTTTTATGTTCTAACCCAGCTTCCACTAGAGCATCATGAGCTGCGTGGCCAGGACCTTTCTACTAGTGGACATTGCTTCCCTACCAGGAGAGACCCACAGCTCCTAAAGCCGCTCAAAGTCACCTTTTTCTGTGCAGGCTCCAGACTGTCCATTGACTCAGTCTTGTGTGACAAGTTGGGAAGACTTAAAGCTCTCATTTACCAAAGCCTCGCCCTGTTTTGTGAAGCCACGTCTTTTGTCAAAAGTGGACCTCTGTGGGCCCTGCTGGAAGCAGATTATATCAGGCTTTCACTGTGGAGTTATTTATCCTCTGGTGTCCATAGAAAGGCTACCTCTAAATCATGGCATTGTAATGGTCTAGGTTGGGTTCTCATCACTTCCCTGATGTAGGGGAGATTTTACTACCGCAATTTGCCTCCAGGAATGTTCCTCTCTGGATGCCATGGACTAGGATTAATCTGGGCATGGGTCACTAAGGCTTTGTTTTTTTGTTTTTTTTGGGGGGGGGTCCAGGCTTGTATATCTGTGACCTCATACTTCAATTTTTCAGCCATTTCTGCTGTGGACTCCTTTGCTGTGAAGAGCTGAGCTTCATGGACCTGCACTGTTGGTACCACAGGCAAGGCAGTCCTACTGCTAGGTCCTACTTCTGACACAAAGTCTTGTGTTCTGCTCTGATTTTAGATTGAAGTTCAACTCTGGCTGCTCTTCTTGACACTTTTCTTTTATAAATTTTTAAAAAATGAAAGTAGCCTTGGATCATTGGTAGAATGAGTCAGAGGTAAACTAAAATTTTCCAACACAGGAAATACCTTTTGGGTGGTGCAGAGTCAAGATCAGGAGCCTTCTGGCCTCCCAAGATTAGTCACAGGGCATGTGCCTATGACACATGTCAGAGTGCCTTTCTTTCATCCATGTTTGGGTGATTCCTGCAGGAGCTTTGAGAAAATGTGGATGGGCTCCACTTGACACTGTTTCTGCAGAGTTATAAGCAAAAAGTCTGCCTGAATTCTTCCTAGAGCAAGTAAGCTAGATATTGGCATATCCAGGGTTGAATTTGTGATTTAGTTAATGCTGAATCATGTCAGATGATTCACGGAGACAGGATAGGCTAAGTTGACAGAGCCCACCATCACTTGTCGAACAGCACCTGAATGGGGAAGTGAGGATGAAGAAAAAGAAAGACACAGAGATAGAGTCGGGAGGGCTCCCAGAGAGATGAGAGC